AAAAAGCGAAAATATATGCGAGGTATGTGAAATGAGTGAAAAGTATCATTTACTTTGATGTTATGAAAAGAAATTTCCATTTATCATTACAAAAAATGGCGAAGTCTAAATAATTTTTTAATGCACCAATAATTTCATTAAAATTTTAATTTATTCATTTCAGAATTTTTTTGATTGGATTTAATAAGGAAGTTACATAATTCGATAATACGAATTTTCAAAAGTAATTCAATTGTGGATCGAAATCAAATCGAAAGTTGAACGAAACTACAAAATGTCTGTGATTCAAGAGTCTACCGGTGAATACGACATTCAAGTTGCAACGGAGGCGATAAAAAAGTTGTACGGAGACGAGAGGACGGCTGACGTGCACTTTATTTGTAAATCGAAAGAACGCATTCCAGCTCATAAATATTTACTAGCCGCCGCGAGCGATGTTCTCGATGCCATCTTCTATGGATCGATAAAAGAGAAAGGTGACGTCGAAATTGACGATGCTTCAGCAGTTGGTTTCAAGGAATTCTTGCGATTTTTCTACTTCAACAAAATCAAATTGACGATGGCGAACATTAGCGATGTGATGAATCTCGGCCAAAAGTACAATGTCACTGAGTGTTTCGATCTCTGTGTTCGGTTTTTGGCAGAGAATCTTACGATTGTCAACGCTTTAGAAGTACATAGTCTTGCTGTTCTTTTTGAACAAGATGATTTAAAGACCAAATGTGAATATTCAATTGAATTTCACACCGAAGATATATTAAAATCGACCATTTTTTTGGAGTGCGATCAACGACATTTAAATCACATTCTAAAACTAGATAGTTTGTCGTGTTCAGAAGCGGTAGTGTTTGAAGCGGCCATGTCATGGGTGAAAGCTGCCAGCAATCAACAGAACTTGACCAAAGAAATCGTTCAAACTCATCTTGGTGAATTATTTTACGAAATTCGTTTTCGATCGATGTCTCATGATCAATTCGTCGATCTTCTACCTTCTTATGGCAAATTGTTTACGGGAGATGAGTTCAACGAAATACTCCAGATGATTCGAAATGCAGAATATCAACCGAAGATATTCAATGCACTACTTCGCACACCAACAACACTACCATGGGATGAAAAGGCTATCATAAAATGTGTCCGTGTAATACAAGTAGGAGATGATCCGTATTGCCTTCAGAAGATTGAAATCACATCATTCACCACAAATAAACCATTATTGTTGGGCTACTTCAAGTGTGCTCCCATATTGATATATAAAAATGGTCAATATAACGTGCAAAATACTCTACCGGGAGATGTGACCATCGTTAGAGTTTCAAATCGGAACGAATGTCAAAGTGAAATATCTGAATGCACAGTTTTACATACCATGAAAGTAGAACTGAGGGGAAATTTTAATAATTCAATCACACTCTCCAAGCCAATCATCATTCGTCCCGAATTTAAGTACGAGATTCGAATGAATATAGACATTTCGGAAGGTTGCGTTACTCATCTGAACCTGAAGTCGGAGGTGAACCTACAAAATGGTATCATTGTAACATTCCATAATGATCCTTTGGTAAGCGGTAAAAAAATGGGTCTGGTTTATGGGCTTGGATTCAATCGCATTGAATGATCAATCTTTTAAATTACTTGCCTCGAAAGAAAATCGAAACTAATTATTGATTGTTTACAACAAATAAGTCACAGAATAAAAATAACAATTAAAATAAAACGAATTACATACGTAATCCATACTTTTCCGCTCTGCAGCAATTTAGTTTGCCTCCCGCCTAATGTTTAACCAAAATTTCAATGGACCCTTTTTTCATAGCATTTTTGACCTTAAAATATAACTATTTCGACCATTTTCCATACAAAAGTGTCATTTTCGAACCAAATTTCAAAAATTTCAAGAAATGTTGATTTCGGACCAAATTTATGGGCAAGTAGTGTTCGGTTGTTCACAGACTCCCATCATTTTTGCAAAAAAATGGCAGTTTGCCTTGATAAAAACCCTGAAAAATGCCTTTTTCGGGTACTTCCCGTACAAAAGTGTCATTTTTCAAGGTTTTTCAGGTCCTCAGTCGGAGGCTTATGGTACGAAATTGGTAAATCAGAATGGGCTCAAAATCAATCCGAAGCTTTGTCTCGACTTTTTGAGATAATCGGCGAACAAAAAACGCGAACGCGGACGACGCCGTACGTACATCGCAATTTTGCACATTTTTCATAGTAAACAACATGTTTTTGGAGGCAGATAGGTCTTGATCGATAGGATTTGTTCCGATCTACATTGCCTAGTGTACAGATATGTGCTTTTTCAAGTTTGGCGTGACGTTATAGTGGTCCGAAAGAGGAGATGTCATGACGACAAAGTTTGCGGAAAAGTAATTTCATCTTTGTTCTTATTGGTACCAAGAGTATGAAAAACGTCGAATCTTCTTAGTTATGCTATTGTAATAACATTTATTTACCGGAACAACTGTAAACATTACGACATAGAACATTTTTGCGACCACAAAAATGAAACCAGAGGAACGATTCAAATTGAAAAGGACACAACAACGAACAACATTCATTGAACATTTTGAAATTTTATTTCTAATTTATTGATAAAAAGGTCCAAAATGAATGAGCTGTTTGATGCAATCAAAAGCGGTAGGTCGGGATTCTTCTGATCATGTTATAAAAACCATTTTATTTTGCTAAAACATTTTTATATTTAGAACCTACATCAAAAGTCGAATCTTTGATCAAAAAAGGAATGAATATGAGCTTACGATTTGATAATGGACAAACTCCAATCCATTTGGGTGTTGAGTTGGGTAAATATTCGGATTTATTACCATCGAGAAAACATATATTCACACAATCCAAACGATTTCATGGCGTCTCTCTTCTCACCACAGATGGTGATAACACCATTTATACTTGACGCATGAGAAAGCAACTTTGACAACTATGTGAATATGCCATATATTTGCAATAATAAATAAACGGTGTATCCCTAGTGCGAACGCTACATCTTTTAAAAGACGTGGTTCACATATTCACGCCTTTCTCACGTCCAAAAGGCACGCACAGTACATAAGAGCCAATGCAAAAGTCAATTGATGCGCATAAGTAGCGTCACCTCTAATGATTACGGAGAGTTACCATAAGTCGTATGCAATTGATGTTGAGAAAAAGAAGAAGAAGAATTAGACATTCTATTCATTTATATGGCAATAATGGCAATCAGTAGAGATGGTGCTCATGTGCCGATCATATCACTGTTACAACCCTTCGCTCACGTCTTCTATATAATTACCACACGAAAGACGTACGTCTTCTGTGCAGTGATGAATGGTATAGCTGAAATTTCCCTCACGTCATTCTCGCATATTTTGTTTACCATTGCACAGAAGATGCACGTCTTTCAGACAGGAAATTATATAGATGACGTGAGAAAGGCGTGAATACGTGAACCGCGTCTTTTAAAGACGTAGCGTTTGAACTTGGGATGTTCCAAAATTTTTATTGTTCTTTGCCACTATCTTTTTCTGAACCAATTGAACCAGGCGAGAAAATTTTTTTTCACGTCGTTGAAATTCGATTAACTTTTCTGGGCAACTAAATTTTATTTGATTTAACTTTTCCGAGATTCTACTGTACTATCAATCCATCCATTCAATGTTTGACCTATGACTAGTGTTGCACTTTATAATTTAGTGATTTTTGACAATTTTCCGATATTTAGATCCACTTGTTTTTTAATTCTAACCATTTCAATTCAGGTGATGAGGATACCGTAAAATTGCTCGTCAAATACCAAGCCGATGTCAATGCCAAAGACAATAAAGGAAATATGCCACTTCATATAGCTGTGGATCATGGTAATTGCCTGAAATCCTGGGAACTACCAAGGGTGTGCGTTAGCATATTTAATGCTTGCTGCTAAGCAATGCTATCACGCAGTATTGGGAACAACATTTGCATTCTTCTCAAATGAACATTCGAAAGAGTTTCTCGAACGAGTCTATTTGAAATGAATCTTTCAACAACAAAAAAATCGCGGTCTAGTGAGAAATATAGCAATATTGTGTATTCAAAATGTTGCTTTTGCTCTGGTCTTTATTTTTTAAAGGAACAAAGTTATTTTTTTCTTTTGAAAGATAATAAAGAGTCGCTCTCGAGAAACTCTTTAGAGTGTCCATTTGAGAATAGTGCAAATGTAGTTCCCTGCTTTAATCCAATTTTAGAACACAAATAAACTTTGGATTTTGCTTCATTTACAATTCAGGTAATGAGAATATTGTTGAATTTCTCATCAAACAAGGCGCCGACGTCAATGCCACAGACGATAAAGGAAATATGCCTCTTCATATAGCTGCAGTATCCGGTAGTTGGTAAACTCTTACTTTGGATCAAAAACAAATTGTTGATTTTACTTCATTCACATTGCAGGTCATGTAAATATGATTGAATTTCTAATCAAACATGGAGCCGACGTCA